CCTGCAAACATTCATCCCAAATGCTGAGTCAATTTCCATAGTCAGAGCTATAGTATTAAAGCAGAAGTCAGAACACAATGAAACTTATACTGAGATTGTCTGAACCAAACACAAAGAGTTCCCATCAGTAGATTTCCAGAAACAGTGATTCATTATCGGCTGCACTGAAGGAGCAGTAACCAATCAGGTGACCAAAAAAGTGGTGGACAGGTTTGCTGTTGAGGCATTGTTCCCAAGAACCTAAAATGAGCCAAATAATAATAAAAATAACGACGGCGATGATTATGACGATGATGGTGGTGGTGGTGGTGGTGGTGGTGGTATGATGTAGGAGAAGGTTATTAAAGATAGGAACACAAAGAAATACAAGAGTGAGAAGAATAATGAACAATAGCTGAAAGCAGAAGAGAAGGTGAGGAATGAGTAAGTAAAGAAGATGACTTAAAATGAACAGAAAAACTTAATGATGGTAGGAGGAGGAGGAGGAGGATGAAGAAGAAGAACAAGAACAAGAACAAGAACAAGAACAAGAAGAAATATGGAGGGGCAAGTAAAGAGAGAAGAATGCGAAATAGGTTAGTAAGGAAAAAAAGTGAAGACTATGGAAGGGGAAAGAAGAAAATTAATGATGGAGTAAGGATAAAGAGGGTTAAAATGTAAAAGAAGTAATGACTGGAGAAGAAGAAAACTTTTTGTAATCTGCGGAGTGTAATGAGTAAGTTATTTTGGGTCTGCAGCCAGAGGAATGGATGTGGGGTTAAAACTGTAACAGTGCAGCAGGAGTGATTGGTAGAGATACGGACAGCTAGTAACTGATGTACATCCATTCCATGTATTTCTTCAACCTGAGGTGCTGTATACTGTAAAAGACATGCCATATTGCTAGTGTTTGTCCCTTTCCTTGTCACTCTTTAGAGGTCTGAAGGATAGGCACACAGATGTATAACCCCTTGTCCATTCATTTTATGCCATTTGTAGGGAGAACTCCTAAAGTGAAAAGGACCGTCAAAATATATTTGTAATTAAATGACAAAGAAATACATTTGACTGTACCATAGCTCAGGCCATTAGTTGCTGGTTACTCACTCAATTTACTGACACTGTGTAATAATATAATACTATACAGAGCCAAATAATTACATTACACCAATATTTTTTCATGCATATTTATAGCATGCTTATGAATTTTCATCCAAAGCCAATTATTCTACAGAGTAAGAATTAGAACCAGACTCATAACTTCTTTACATTTCATAGTCCCACACTATCTAGAAAATCGGCTCAAAGATGGCGGTAAGGTTGTCGGCCTTACGCGCCGGCCGCGCTTTACTCCCCCAGGAAAATTATTAATTCCTGGTACTAATTGAGTAAACCCCAGGGCCTAGTGCAGCTGGAAGGATTAGGTCAAGTGAAAAAAAATCCAACGACCTCATCGGGACTTGAACCCGCGACCTTCTGGCTTGTAGCATAGCCCCCTCAACCACTACACTACCATGTGCCCCCACACTTACATAAATATAAATATAAAATTAGGAGTTACTATTAATTGTATCCATCTTATTTTATAAGGATATTATATGTGTATTTTACAGACTGATGTATATGTCAAAATATTACATACTTACTTACTTTACTTACTTGCTTACTTACTTACTTACTTACTTACTTAC